GGGGGAGGGAATCTATTGGAGGTGTAGAATTCTATATTTAAAAACATTAAATAATATTCCACTATACTTTACTGAACTGTTTTTACTACACAAAATACAAAATAACACTAGAGACTGAAAATTAAAAAATTCACTTAGCTATAAGTGAACAGCCACATGTTATTTCAGACCTCCTTGGGTACTCTTATAATTGGTAGAGAAAAAAAAAATCACTTTCTGCATTTTCAAGGGCTAAAGGAATTGTGAAAGCTATAAGGACACAAAAAGATGTAGGTTCCAAAGTATTTAATAACATTGTTATATGTTTCCTGGAGACTCACAAAGTGTAGGACAGGGAAAGAAGTCACACAAATGATTTTGTTTCCTTTTAAAACCTATCCTTAAGGTAAAAGATAAATACAATATTCACCTTATAAAATGTTGCTCAATTCTCATGATTACTTAACATTTACACAGCATTTCATAATTGGTTTGCTAGAACCTTTTACTGCATAAATTCACCCGATTCATTATATCTATTAATCAGGGAGGCAGGCAGGAGAGCGGTTAGGAGCTAGCGGGCCCAGATTGGGAGAGGCATGTCCCCCAAAGTCAAATGTGGTGGTGGGGGGGAGACATCTATAATACTTTCGACAACAAAGTTATCTATACTAATAAAAGGATAATATGCTAATTAGACCGGGAGACCTTCTGGACATCCTTCTGGACAAAGCCATGGTGGCGGGGCTGAGGCAGAGGCAGTTAGGGGCAATCAGGCCGGCAGGGGGGGGCAGTTGGGGGCAAGCAGACCAGCAGGGGGACAGTCGGGGGCAATCAGGCTGGCAAGGTGGGGGAGGGGCAGTTGGGGGTGAGAAAGCCAGCAGGCAGAGTGGTTAGGGCGATCAGGGAGGCAGGCAGGAGAGCGGTTAGGAGCTAGCGGGCCCGGATTGGGAGAGGCATGTCCCCCAAAGGGTCCCAGGTTAGAGAGGGTGCAGGCTGGGCTGAGGGAAACCCCTGCCCCCATGCACGAATTTCCTACACCAGGCCACTAGTTATAACATAATAGACAATTATATCAGATAGTTAAGTAACAAAGATTAATGGGTTAAAAAAGAATTCATAATAATGTTAAGTATCATCCACCAATTGATAAGAGACTACTGTCTAGTTTAATAACTAATTAACAACATTGTTAGCTAGTTAACAAGTAAACAACTTCAGTCTGGATAGGGACAACTTCACTCTGTGTGTAGTCTATGTTATAGACCTGAGCTCTCATTCGGACAATATATTTGATTTAAAGCAAGTCATTTATTTATTTTCTTTAGTTTCCCTAACTGTAAAATGGGGACTAACTTCAGTTTTCGATTCCAATATGGCTTGGATTAGGACAACCTTAGACATTATTTCTGTGCAGACATACCTTCAAAGAAGTTAAAAACACATCAAAGGACTTGTTTCATTTTTTTGTGTATTGTTTCGTTTCCCCCCACCTCCTATTTACAGGAAGGGATCTCTTTGGAATTCTTGCTACTTCCCTCCTCTGGTAATGGCAAGTATCTTGATGCAGCACATGCTTTTAAGAGAAGAGACTTATCTAACTTAATAATAACTGCTTTAAGAAATCCATAGGAAACTTCATGTGGATAAAGTTATTTGAACTAATTTTCTAGATAATTATATG